TTACACCATTTCAAAACAATTGAGAACAAACATTTTAAAGCTAGGTAAGTCATCTCAAGGTAGACATTTTTACATTAATGAAAAGCAAAGTATGGACCAGGCAAATGAACCTAATCACATTTGACTGATTATAAGGGAATGATGAACCTAATAACATATGAACGTATAGTCAACATCCATTGAGGTCAGCAACCATTTAAATGAGTATATGATTATGTCTCAGTAAATAAAGAGAGATAACATCACCTGCTTGTAAGCCCGGATGGTATTGCTTCTTTTTGGAGTTGAGTATAAGACTCTGGGAGTTCGATCAGTAACAACAAAAGGGTCCTGCCCATAAATGCGAAATAGAGGACGGCAACCACCCTCCCCATCAAAATTAGGAATAAATCTAAAGATGACGCAGTCCAAGGTAAGCGCTCGATCCAGAGGAGGCCATTCCAAGGCTACATTCCTCCTCGAAACGTACTGTAGATACCTCAGTTGAGAAGGGATTGGATTTAGCGGTGATAAAAAATGCAAAAGCTCATGGGGAGCCTGCCTATAAACCATGTCTAACGTCCTCTGCTCTCCACTATACTGTTTCCGGTAAATCAAGAGCGCAGCTAGCATGAAAGCTAAAACAGGCCAACCTCCACGTTCACAGTGCATCAACAGCACATTATGCTGCCCAAGTGCTAGCCAACTTTCACTTGATCTAAGAAAGTGATGGATCAATTCAAGTGTGAGCACCGGACAACCTTCAAAGTGTCGTGGGTAATCCATTATGGTCATATCGTACTCAGACAAGATGCTGGCCATCTGGCTTTGTGCCACTCCATCATGAAAATTGAACACCAAGAATGAAGCATCAGGTAGGTGATCTTGGAGTTGACCAACTATCCCACCTATGTAAACTTTATAGTTTTCTTCCTTCCAAGCATCGGTAGTGAAGCAGCAATCAAAAACTATATGTAGACAAAGAAACAGCCGCTTACGGTCAGGTCATACTACATGCCTAGGCCATAACCACAACTATTCAAAAGGAATTCCAACATACATTTCCCCTTCACATAAGATGGCATCATCACTGTGAGAGTCTTATGCAATTAGCAAGTGTTAAAGCAATCTGAACACACCCATCTACATTCAAGACTGTTCCTTAGTCATCCCTCTTTCATCAAATGCAATACAGTACATGTATTTCAAAAGTTTTATAGACGAGCTGCTGCTGCTGTTTCTTCTTTTTTTATTATTTTATTTTTGTTGAGTAGACATAAAAATACGCAAGGTGTTCATTATTTAAATTAACAGAAAACATTGCTTAATTAACTGCAAACATAGTTAAATTCAGATTGGTATTATTCAATTAAGCACACAATGTAGCCACTGCCAAACCGGACTATATATATATATATATATATATATATCATGATTCATGTGTGTGTGTGTAAATGTTCGACAGCCATCACAGAAGAAAAAAGAAAAAAGAAATATCGAATTCGAAACGCACCGTAAACTCGCTCAGAGATCTCGAAAAGCCCATCAGGCGGCTTCCGATAGAACAATTTGCGCAGCAACGCCATCTCTGCTGTCCAATTATTCCCAAACTCTGCCTCCTATCACAATCAAAATCACCCTGCCTACAATTGCCGATCAATCACGTATATGTACGCATATAAATATACATATGCATATATAAAAATGTAATGTTTGAATGAAATTTGTTAAAGTCGAAATGAGGAATTTGGTAGAGCAAAGGAATTTAGTTGGCTTCTGAGAAAAAGAATTTCGGATTTTTTTGCTGTTTTGGCTGGGTTAGAATTTCTGTCTGTCTGTGGATTAGATTGTCGAAGAAGAAGACGACGACGAAGAGTGTGATAGATAATTTGGTTTGTTACACTTTATTTTGTTTCATTTGCCTCTGCAGCTGTGGGATTTCACCAACCGACTTGGCACTGTCAGCTCCAGATGACGTGGACACCATCACTGCTCGACGTGTATGTCATATTATCCATCGACGTGGCTCCTGCTACTTTTCCTTCCCTTATTTTTGTCTTTTTTTTGACATTTTAAACCTTTTTTATACAATAAAAAATAATAATAATTCTAAAGATGGGCCCGAGTACGGAGCTGAGCCATAGCCCAAGGCATGTGGACTTCATTTTAGCATTTTGAAAGCTGGACTGAACAAATCAGTTTTGTTGTTAGGTCCAAGTGATAATCGCAGACTCAATTTGAGATTTGGCCTTAACCTTCTCAATTAGATCCAAAGTGATAATCTACTGAACAGTTAATTGGAGTGATTTCAATAATGTTGAATGAATTACCATAAGAAATATAATGTTAAATGAATGATTCAATAATTTGAGTTGGTCTTATATGAAAGTGCAGTTGAAGTGTTGGGTTTTGGAAATCAATTGCTCATCTCTCTCTTGCGTAAGAGAGAACAAAACTAAATTGAAGGGTCTACAAGAATATTATTATATTTAAGCAGTATCGCCGTGCGGCTATACTCTTTTAATATATTTGAATATTTTATTTGAATATTTTAAACATATAGCCGACCGACTGTACTTCTAAAATATTATATTTAAATCGTATAGCTGCGCGGCTATATTTTATGAATATATTCGAATATTTTAAACGTAGACATGGACCATGCAACCATGAGCAACGCAGCAACCACCATCCGGGCCAGCATGAATTGCTGTGCCATCACCCGGAGCTTGGCCTGCTACTGTCCGCGAAAGCCACAACCTGTTGCCATCAAAGGGACCCCATTTGGCTGATCGAACGTGATCGAGAAGGCCATAATACAAGGCCTCTCTATAAAGAAGCTTTTCAGACATATTGGCTGGGATATGAAGCTCTTGGGTTCTTAGAAGATCAAGATGACCGCAAAGCAATCCGGGTTGCGATCAATGAAGTATTCATTGGAATTATAGGATTGTAGATTCCAGTTCTCGTCGAACATCGCTCCAAACATAGAATTACGACCGGCATTTGCGAGAGTTGTGGTTGTTGTTTCAAAGATTCTGCCTCCAACATTGAACCTCACCTTGTCTTTCTGAATTCCCATCATTGAATTTCAGAATCCCATATGGGGTTTCGGAGCTGGGAGGCCAAGGAAAGGAGAAATTTTTGCAGGTACCCGGTACACCAGCCAGCGCCAATAGGAATGAGATACGTGTAATAATTTATTTTTAGCCTTTTAACTATTTGTACTACTAAAATATTATATTTAAATAGTATAGCCGATCGGCTATACACTTTGAATATATTTGAATATTTAAACAGTTTAGCCGGTCGGCTCTACTGCTTAAATATTATATTTAAATAATATAGTCGCGCGGCGATACACTGAATATATTCGAATATTTTAACAGTATAGCCGCGCGGCTATATGCAGTGAATGTATTTGATTTTTTTTTAAGCAGTGCCGCACGGCTGTCCTTCTTAAATATTATATTTAAATAGTATAGCCGTTCGGCTATACAGCGTGAATGTATTTGGCTATACTCTATGTATATATTCGAATATTTTAAAGGTATAACCACCCGGCTGTACATCTAAAATATTATATTTAAAGAGTATAGCCGCACGGCATTACGCTTTAAATATGGACATACGTTTTTAAAGTGCAGCCAGCTTTCTTTTGTTTCAATTCGAATCGGGAGTTTCTAAGGAAATTCGAAGTCTTTGGGAACTGGTTTTCATGATTTTTATGTTAATCGAAAACCCATTGATGGGATTTTGAATTTGAAGTTATTGGATTGGTGCTAAGGGCCTCTCATGGGGAGGGTTTCATTTTATTTCGCATGAGCCAGGAAATTATTTCTCATGCATGGACTTACTAAACATGAAAAGGAAATAATTTTCCATGAACCAAACACAACCTAAATGGTTAAGCATAGTTACCACTGCATCTGAGTTTGTGTGTTCAAAACCCCTTCTTCCAATATCGCTGCCTAAGATTTAAACTCCCTAATATCACCGCCTAAGATTTCGTAATTGTTAATGGAGTCAAGTCATGTTTCCTAAGGAAGTGGAAGAATTACTTAGTGATTCTTTCACCCGGTCGCCGCCTAAGATCTAAGCCCAAAACCTCCTTGATAGATAAATAAGAAGTTCCATGTCAACATTTTGAATGCAGAACAAGAAAAATGCAATTCCACATATGCACAATTGTCTAGTGGTTGCAACAATTTATTTATTTATGGTTCAATTTCGTTTTGTCTCAGACTAAACTTTGTGTTTCTTCAAGTTTTCGTACAATTTCTTCCATGTATGGCCTTTCCCGTTCACTTGGAGCTGTACATTTAACAGCTATGGACAATACGTTTCGAAATTCAGAGGAAACATAAGCCCCATTTAAACGCGGATCCGCCATGCCACTTATACTTGCTCCTTTTAGTATTGCATCCCTTGCCTGTACAAATTGCAACACATCAATTAGGCTAGCTACATTATTTCATCACAGATAGACTATATTTGGGATTTAGAGCAAACCTCCTCAACCACAGATTTTGACTTCTTTCCTGTCAAAACTTGAAGCAGAACAACCCCGAAATCGAAAACGTCGTTTTTTATGGTTTGTAGCCCTTTTGTTTCATTAGGCTTGTAGTTTGATAAGTTGGAGTCTAATATCTTGGCTTCAAGTTTCTCATTCAGAAATATGTTTGATAACTGAGCCATCAGCCAAGCAATGCAAGTGCAAGGTCATTGGTTAGTAATAACCTCTCAAACTCAAAAGATTAGAGACCATATCATTTGAATATTAAGTACTAAATCAAATTAAATTACCTTTAAATCTCCATGAACCGTTTTAGCCAAGGCATTGGCATGGAGAAAACATAAACCCCGAGCAATGCCAATCGATATCTGCATTCGATGTTCCCATGTCAAGATTAGTGTACTCCCATTACCTGCTAGATAAAGTGACTGCATAAATGCACATAAATGGCACAAGAGTAGAATCATCAAATTATCAAGACAAGAGGCAATCATTTGATTGTAGGTTAAACCTTACCAAGAAGCCAGCCTGCTAGGTTACCGTTTACACAATACTCATAAACAAGACAGTGCTCTCCTGTATCACAATATCCCAAAGTGGTCACCACATTAGGATGCCTTATCTTGGCTTTCCTTATTACCTCTTCGCCGAAATTTTGAACTTTAATGATCCCCTGATTAAGTCTCTTAATTGTTGTTGGCATTCCACTAGGCATTATCCCAACATAGAATTTCCCTGAAAGAATCTGTGAGTTTCAGCTGTAACCCAATTTTGAGTGATCTAAATTAAATCATATATATTGATCAGTCAGCATCATATGGTTCATAATTCATACCAAGTGTTGCCTCTCCAATCAAGTTTGAATCATCAAAATGGTTGGTAGCTTTCAACACTTCATCTTGTGAGAATAGGTAAAGACCAGAGCAGTTAAAGAAACTCCTGGATTCTTCCTCTACTGTCTTCTTGGAGACTAAAACGGCAACAACAAATATATATGAGTCTTTCTTCTTAATTTTCGATCTTTGGAAGAGGCTAATTAAAAGAATGCTCACCGGATAGGATTTCGATATCTTTTTTGCTTGCATATTGCAGTTGCTTCCTGGTTATCTTATAAAGAATCGGAGTTATAATCACCAGTGCTGCCGCCAGGATTACTATGGCAAGAAGCTTCTTGGAACCCAAGATATGAGCTTTTATGCATTTGTTATTAGTAGTTGTGTTAGAACTAAATGGGATGACATGCAACTATAGAAACAAAAAGAACAACATTGAAGGAAACCTCTTTTATGCTACCTTTGTTTTGATTCTGTGTAGGGCCTATAGGCCATGGAGACTCTGCAGAAACACAAGAATAAAATTAACAATCTGTGAAACAAACATAATTAATGATTCACTTACCAGGATTTGGATCATATCTTACTTATTTCATTCCACAAACAAGAAAAAGTTCCGTGAACCAAGTTTGGGGATTGAGCATCTGAGCTAGCAAGACTAACAAGTAGAGCTTCAGCGCACCTGTTACCTGATCTATTTCTTTCTTTTAGAGCTTGCAATGACTGCCTATAAGAAACAACACAATCGAAACATGCTTCATCGCTATGATTACTGCTAGATAAGGCTTTACAATTAGACCGTAAAGAGTTGTACGTGTCAACCCCAAGAAGACCAATGACTGAATCAACATTGTTTGAGCACAAGTTTGGTGTTGGCAAAGAGATAAAATCTTGGAGATCACAGTTGTTAAGATTGGTCCTGTGGTGAAGCTTTTCGAATATGTTGGTGCAATTCTGAGCTTCAGCAAACTCAAGGAATATGGATCCAGATTGACTAGCTTTTATAGTCATTGTTTGGTATAGAGATTGAAGGGCAGAGCTGCAACATGACTGCATTACTAAAGGTGTGAAAGAACCTTCTGCTAGGTCAAAGCACTGGCTTTGGGCTTCATAAGGGAATCTGGTAAAATCCAATGTGCAAGTACCTGCTGAAAAAACAGAAAAGAGGAAAAAAAACTAAGTGATGTTAAGAAATTGTATATATCCCATGTATCTATGTTGTTCTTGGTATTGGTTTTGCATATGCTTACTTGAACTAATCATGTGGGGCTTGCAAAGAAGTATGAAGAAGAATAGGAAAATAAAGGGAGTGGCCATTGTGTTGTGATGTGAGCACTGCTTTGAGGTTTCTGGGCTGAACTTTTTTTGTACCACAAAAACTTGAGGGAAAATGATATTTAGAATCCTCGAGGAATTAATGTGATAAATATGACCCGTTGAATTGATGTTTGAAGTATATTGATTATATATCCTTTGAGGTGTAGACAAGTACTTTGACTCAGTCTAAGAATAAGAACCTTTGAGAATATCATTTTGTTTCTTGGAAGATGGTGTCCTTAGCCGGCTGGATGGGAGTAAGTTTGTAAGTGTGGCTGTGTGTGAGCTCATAAATTCTTCTTCGAAAGGGTTGAAAGGCTTCAGTCCAAACAAAAAGAAAAGAAAAGAGAATTGAAAATTTGAAAAGGTTTCTTAACCATTGACCAATCATGCAAAGAGAAAGATATAATCGATTTGTTACTTTCTTGTCAATATGTAATATGTCATCTGATTTTGTTCTTTGTTCTTGTATTAATTTGAAACAGTCAAACTCTAAGTAAAATATGAAATAAATCTCAATTATAATATGACTAAATAAACTGGTAACAATCCAAAATACCATCATAATCTTAATTATGTCCCATGTCGCCGTCCAAAATACCATACGACGACAAGAAACCACTAGCAGGGCTTTTGAATCCGTTAAAGGCTTCCTTTCATGACATACATTGTCAACTAAGCCCAAGCTCTGATGTACATAAATAAGAAGGCCTAACATGTAAGTCCATTATCAACAAGTCTAAGAATGATTATTCTGAAATCATATCATTTAGAAGAAAAAGGTAATTAATTTCCTCGTAAAGGCAATGCTCCGAGTCATAGGACATATGAAAGTCGTTTACCATGTTTTCTCCTAGGCCCTAGGGACCTATAGAAGTAAGTTGGATTCGTTCAAAGTGTGGATGGATCCAATCCAATTATGAAAGTTGTGTGGTCTCACTATAACAACAATTATTCATTCATATCCACAAAATTGCGTGTAGGGTTTGACAAATTTTATGGCCAATTCATGCATTCAACTAAACTTAACATTAGTCCGAGTTTACTCCACTTTCTATATAGATTCTGGTGCCTCGTTCGGTGAATTGACTTGGAATGATTATGATGGATTTGGAAACATTTGATTGGGCTGGCTAGATTGGAGTCCAATCTTATTCATTTATGAACCAAATAACATACTAAAATCAACATTGTTTTAATAAATCAATATTTTATTTTATTATTAACAATAATCAGATGCAAAATTCCAACTTTTTGCCTCAGTGCCTTTTTTCTTTTTCTTTTTTCAAATATCTTTCTTCCTCTTTTTTCATTATATTTTTTTTCTAATCGAAATTTCTCTTTATCATATCAAATGCATTTTTTTTTGGCGAGGAAAAAGGGGTAAACCCCAACAACAGACAAACCAAGCAGCCCCAGTACCCACAAGACGAGCTCTACTAATACCAAGTAGATCATCCAACGTAGGCTGGATTTATATCCTAACCAGAAATTTAAGTCCTAGCCAGTGTTTAATATAATTAAGCCCACCAAACAATAGACCGAACTCATGTCCATTTTAATTGAAAAAGTTCCACCCAATCCAGCCCACCAAATAGAGCCTCTACGTTTTCACTTAAACTATCATTATTCCTAAGAAAACTCAACTCCAAAATCGAATGTAATTTAAAATAATTTTGTTTTTAAGTGTTAGGGTAAACTCATATCAATGATGGATTTAAATATATAACTGTTTCTGTATAGGAAAATTGACCTCTCATTTATTTATGTAACTTTTTTCTTCGTAGTTTTGTTTTGCGCTTACAACTTGACGAGAAGACGAGTAAAAACAACAAGCGGCTATGGTGAGTTGAGAAAATCTATCCACACGAGTGAGGCGGTCAGTGACAAAGTCTAAAAAATTCCAACACAGAAATAGAAATACAACACAAGGCAAGCGAGCGGCACGAGTAGTTGGCACTTCCTTTTTAAGACTATCCACCCCCCAAAAAGCCTATCTTTTTGACAATTCATTCAACAATCTCGAAGTTCAAAGCTTTTAAAGAGGTTCTGAAGTGGGGGTCCTTGCGAACTGGGATTTCTGCAATTTCTGCTCAAAAATGGCTTGCAGACTTGCAGATTCTAGGTTCCTCTCCATGGTAAGCGATGCCATTTGCTCTTCTATATCGTACCCAATTGCTTATTTTTTCTCATTTTGCTCTTCCTTTTTAAATTTTGAATGGTGGGTTGTGTTCTTAAATTCTTACTCTCTCTTCTTGGTCTGAGTTGCAGGGCCCCCATCAAAATCCAATTCGAAGCCAAAGAATTGGAACCCATTATTCTTCAGGTGTCATTTTTTAGACTGTCATCATTATTTGTGACATATTATCAATGTGAATGGCAACTTACAATGCTTATTGTGAGGTTCAGGAATCTGCTATTTGAAATGGGGCAGCCTTCCCCAAAAGGGCATCAAACGTCAACGGTTTTTAACTCGTAGAAATTGGACGACAGTTGCAAAAGCGGTTGCCATTCCAGTTGCACCATCTTCACCAGACAGTGCTGAGTATAGAAAACAATTATCTGAAAGTTATGGTTTCAAACAAATTGGAGAACCACTCCCAGATAATGTTACGCTGAAGCATGTCATTGATACCCTTCCGAAAAAGGTATTGTTTTTCATTCTCAGAGCCACACCGTCAATGCTACTTATTCTTATTGTTTGAATTCGTATCTGATGCATCTGTTTTTTATTGTTGACAATTCAGCTGGGGATCTGATTTTGAGTTAATAGTCTGTTCAATTGAGTAGATTTAGTAGGTTGAATTTCATCTGAGAAGCTTCATACTGCATTGTTGGAAATCTTTCTATTTTTCCTGGCTGGCATCATTGGAAGCTTCATTCTTTTACCTCTATTAAACATAAAAATAAAAATTCCTTTTTGAATAGTGCCTGGGGAAGATAAAATATAAGTGCTATGTAACTAATAATTCTGGCTTACAATACAGTTGAGAAATGTAAACAATCTCAAATGTAACTACTTTCTTTTTGTTTTTCTATTATAGGTATTTGAGATTGATGATGGGAAAGCATGGAAGTCAGTTCTAATATCTGCCACTTCCTATGCATTCGGGCTCTATATGATTTCAAAAGCCCCATGGTATCTACTTCCTCTGGCTTGGGCATGGACAGGGACTGCAGTTACTGGGGTTTGTTCAAAGCCCATCTCTTCATCTTATATTGGTTCTAGTAACTTACTTCGCTCTCCTTTTTTCATTTATTGTGGTATATATAAGCCAACTCATTCCTTTTTTTTCCTCCCCAATTGTGAAGTTTTTTGTTATAGGTCATGATTGTGCGCACAAATCATTCTCAAGAAACAAATTAGTAGAAGACATTGTTGGAACACTGGCCTTTTTGCCGTTGATATACCCATACGAACCATGGCGGTTTAAGCATGATCGACATCATGCAAAAACAAACATGTCTGTGTGGTTTCCCCGAAGCATATATTTATTTATTTTATGTTAATTAATTTATGTGTTTATTAATGGCTTCATTTTAGCACATCACATGTCTTGAAAAAGAATATATTCTATATTCAACTCATACTCTTCCCAATGGTGCAGCGTGATAACAAGGGCTGGAAAATATACAGAAACAATCATTCTAAAATTAAAGAGCGTTAGAATGAATGATCATGTTAGACTTTTAACTGAAAATAACGTTTGACTTGTGAATGAAAGCCATTAATATTACTGAATGTAGTCTTTGAAATATTTTTTTGTTGATTTTTCAATTATAGGCATACTACTTCCTTGGTTTAAGTATATTTCTAACTCATAACTTCTTGGCTTTTCCTTTTTACCTCATCATCTATATAGGTTGATTGAGGATACAGCTTGGCAGCCTATTGCTAAAGAAGAGTTTGATTCATCTCCTCTCTTTCGCCAGGCAATCATGTATGGATATGGCCCATTTCGGCCCTGGATGTCAATAGCTCATTGGTAGGTAACTATAAAAGAAGAATCACTCTCTGTTTTGTTTTGTGGCCGTTATATCAACAATGGTGATTTTTAGTCATGATTCTTAATGTGTGAATATCCAATAGACATAAATAAATATTACTTGGTATCCAAATAGGTTGCTAGTCCACTTCGATTTGAAGACGTTCAGACCAAGTGAAGTGAAAAGGGTGAAGATAAGTTTGGCTTGTGTTTTTGCGTTTATGGGGATTGGATGGCCATTGATTGTGTTCAAGACCGGGATCTTGGGATGGGTAAAGTTTTGGTTGATGCCATTTTTGGGCTATCACTTTTGGGTAATACTACTCCCTGGTCTCTATTTTGACTGCAGTACTTAACATGTATTGGTGAACATAGCCGACTTGCCTTTGGGAATTCTATAGTTGTAGAGCTTACTGTCAATTCTGTTTTTCAATTTTACATGAATCTGTAGATGAGTACATTCACGATGGTACACCATACGGCACCTCATATACCATTCAAATCTGCGGATGAGTGGAATGCTGCTCAGGCTCAACTTAATGGAACAGTTCATTGTGATTACCCTCAATGGTACTGTATCTTTGTGCTTTAGCTTTCTTCTATATTTTTTTTTCAGATGAAAGCAGTTATTGAAATCTGACCACTGTGCTGCTATTAAATTCACATATATGTAATATTTTAATGTTATTGACAAGTAATGATTAAGAATTGTTACTAGCATAAAATCATTCATATTGCCATAACTGCTTCACAAGAACCTAGCACTCTTTTCTTCTTCTTTGGGGTGTGTGTTTTTATACGTTGGAGGCATTATTTTCTCAACAGGATTGAGACCCTCTGCCATGATATCAATGTCCATATACCCCACCATATATCTCCCAGGATTCCGAGTTATAACCTACGAGCAGCTCACAAGTCGCTTCAAGAAAACTGGGGAAAGGTAGATATCTTCAGTATCTTCTACAATATTGTGATTAGTCTTGAGCTGCACATGTAAAATCAAAATATTCAAAAAAGACGTAAGAAAGAAAAAGGAGTTATTTTCGTTGTTTTTTTTCCATGTTATGAACAGTATCTGAACGAGGCTACATGGAATTGGCGTTTGATGAAGACGATACTGACAGTGTGCCACGTTTACGACAAGGAGCAGAATTACGTTGCCTTTGACCAACTTGCCCCTGGAGAGTCTCATCCAATCAAGTTCCTTAAAAAAGTGATGCCTGATTATGCTTGATCAACTTGTGTGCCTTGTGGTGGGGTCACAGCCATTTAGGTTCTTGTCTTTTACACACTTCTTTTTGGGTCAAGATAGGTATGCTATCCCATTTATTTTTACATGTTGATGTTGTTATTGCTTGTGTTTACACAACCTTTTTTCGAAGTTTTTGACTATAAATTGAGGGAATAATTGAGGGAAATTTCCTAGAAGTTCACAGTAAAAGATGGTTGATATTCATGCACCAGTAATCCTCTGGACTTTGAATCGTTCTTGGATGACCGAAACTTCCTTGAATTGTTCTCTATTCCCAACCAATGACCTTTTGCTACATACGTGATAACTTTTTCATATAATTAGTTAGAATAATAAAGTAGTGTTATGCCCGTGATATACAAGTTCATCTTTTACTATAACGTGTAGTTGCACTGAAATTGACGAGATGAGTCAGAACCCAGTGAACTCATGAATTAAACTAGATGGCGATAAGGGTAATGTTGGTTGGAATTAGTGTTGATCATTATTAAAAATGGCTGACAATGATTTCTCCTCAGAGGTGAGGTTAAACAATTTGTAAAAATTAAACAAAAACTGATCTGAAACTTAATCGAAGTCGTGTCAGTTACCTTATATCTTAATGAATTAGTTCAAAGACATTAAAATACAGCAACGAGGCACACACAACAAGAAAGTCAAATTGAATCAAGTAATCTATATCCCTACGCAGGGTTCTAGTAAAGTGGGATTTCTTCCTACTTCATGTTCGGGCATTTAGAACCAAACTCCAGAGCTGTTTAATTAGATTAATACTTGAAGGTTGAGCAGAAACAGAAGACGTCGTGTTCGATAAGCATCATAGAAGTATATGAATTGGAAAAGAAGAAAAAAACAACAGCAAACGAACTGGTCAAAGGTTCATAAAATGCAAAGGCTAAAAGGCAAGGTGAAGGGGGCCACAGTTGTTTGCTATTGTGGTTGTCACAGATTCAAAGTACTGATCATTTAGAAACGCAAAATGAAAACAAAGGCTGCACCAACCTAACCACTTTGTGCAAAGTTACTCATTCATAAATCTTGCAAAGAGTTGGCAGTTGGAACTGCTCACATGCCAAAGAGCATCTCTCTCCAAATCTGGAATCTTTGCCAAGGGTCTTAAGATGCATGGAAATTTGTGCAGGAGATCAACTTTGGCAAAGCAGAAAAAAAAAGTAAAAAAAAGCAAAAAAAAAGAAAGAATTCTCTGCGCAAAAGTGAAAATCAAAAGAGCCATTCCTTGTTGGCTGTTCAAAAATAAAAGATCGACAGAATTTGAACCACAGGACCAGTTCCCATGATTAATGGCTATGCAAAGGTACCAAATTTCTAGTTATAGTAGTTAAGCAATCGATTTCATTTTTATCTCTCCAGGCTTTATAGTAAGGCAAAGCAAACGGTTTCATTCTTCACAGTAGTGAGCCAACCCTGTGCAGTACAATCTTTAAAACTCTGTCTGAAGTATCTCTAAATTTCCTAAACCTAGATAGTATTGCTGCAACTCCATCTCCTAGGATCTAAAAAAGACAGGAAAACTATGTATCATGTATGTCAGAAATGAAAGAAAACACAATCTTAAAAAATAACCCAACCATAATCTGAAGAAGAATCATATAATTGGAGGAGGTGGAGTCTCCCATATATCAAACACATTTTCCTCGCTATGAAGAGCAAAAAGCCGATCTCCACCTATCGAAAAATCGCAGATTGAACCTCCATAACTTCGTCGAAGCCCGGACGTTAAAACCCAATCAGGACCACAGAACACTGAAATGGAATCATTCATGGATGAAAAGAGTTGCCCCTCATGCAATGCCAGTTTGGGGTAGCAAGGCTCATCAGGCATTTTTCCCTTCATCAGCCTGCTCCTTGAGCTCCATCTAACACTTCCACCAGAGCTCCTGAGATCAATAAAACCCAAATCTTCGTACTCATTTACCACACAAATGGAGTTACTCTCCTCCATTGCTATTGCATCTCTGACCCTCTTCTCATCCACAGTTATAGGAGCTCCAATATCAGACCAAGACCAGACCATTTTCTTCTCCCTCAAGTCCAACAAACTGATGTAACAGTTGTCTTTCCTAGGGAACAAGGTTGCAACTAACAGACAGTTACTCCCCTGCAACCATTGCAGCTTGTCAGCATCACCAAGTGACCAACCAGGTGGTTCATAGAAAAAATCAGTCTGCTTTCCTGTTATTTGGTCCCAAACACCAACGCCATACTCATTGCTCCTACCTTTGCAACTAGAGAATATCTTGTAATCTGACCCAAAACACAAAGCTCCAGCAGTAAAGCTCTTAACTTGATTCTCATGACTAACTTGAAATTTGTACCTGAGCTCCCCATTTGATGAGCTGAACAGCCCCATTCCTCCGTCTCCTCGGCCTAACCGCTCGCAAACGCTGATCACTATGTTCTCCGAATCAACCCAACCAACATCATTGACTCTCTGATAATCAAGATTGATTGGAGGATGCTCATCTAGCATCCAGTCGTAGACATGGACCATGCAACCATGAGCAACGCAGCAACCACCATCCGGGCCAGCACGAATTGCTGTGCCATCACCCGGAGCTTGGCCTGCTACTGTCCGCGAAAGCCACAACCTGTTGCCATCAAAGGGACCCCATTTGGCTGATCGAACGTGATCGAGAAGGCCATAATACAAGGCCTCTCTATAAAGAAGCTTTTCAGACATATTGGCTGGGATATGAAGCTCTTGGGTTCTTAGAAGATCAAGGAGGACCGCAAAGCAATCCGGGTTGCGATCAATGAAATATTCATTGGAATTATCGGATTGTAGATTCCAGTTCTCATCGAACATCGCTCCAAACATGGAATTACGGCCGGCATTGGCGAGAGTTGTGGCGGTTGTTTCAAAGATTCTGCCTCCAACATTGAACCTCACCCTGTCTTTCTGAATTCCCATGATTGAATTTCAGAATCCCAGATGGGGTTTTGGAGCTGGGAGGCCAAGGAAAGATATCAGTTTATGTCGTTGAAAGTTGAAGAAAATTATGGGATTGTTTGGATAATTTGAAATAAAATGAACAAAATTAAGGAACAATGATAATGAAGAAACAGAGTTCAGATTTCAGCGTTCAGAGAGAAAGAAAGTAAGCCAAACAAATTTGATAAATACCCGGTATTTGATCTGAGGGGTTTGAGATGGGATGCGTTCGTTGCAGGAGAGGAAACAGAACACCCTGAAGAACAGGGGAGTTTGATCAAGCTGATGGGAAATTTGATCAAACTCTGAGAAATGGAGATCTGGGTATTGAAGAATTCGAGGTTCAGAGGGTTGGGTTTTAGAATTTGTAGAATTAGGTGGAAGAGGAGTTGATGAATTGGAGCGGTTGGATTTCAAATATTGACTCTTTTCTTTTCCGGCTCTCTCCTCTGTCTTTCTTACTTTGCTTTGTCCATGTTTTTTTTTTTCTCTCTCTCTCTCTCTCTGCCTTTCTTTGGTTTGCCTTTGGTCCGGACGCAGTTGAACTTTTCGTGAATTAAATACTCTATGGTGGGGTCAACTTTGGCTCTGGGCCATCCTTAGATCTCCACCGTTGGATGGTTATTTGAAATCCAATCATCATCAATGTTTTTTGGGCAAATGTTGGGGACATTTATGGTGGAAGAAATTTCCTTGCTGAATTAATAGTTTAAGGCTTTCGATTAAGTCAGCTCCAACCCAAAGAAACCGTGTCTTGTGGGCTGTGTTTTTAAATGTTCTCTTTGTTTTTTGTAAATTTGAACAATTCCTCGTCCATTCAAAGGAAAATGACACAGAAATTGAGACTTTTATTTGATGAGAGAGTGGCTCCCTTCCTTTTCGACCTCTTCCAATCATGTAATTTATTGGTCCGTTCCCATCATATTTATAAATAAATTATGATGGAATTTATTTCCCTTTTCGATTATTTTTTTTTCTATGATGAATGATTGGATTTTTTAACCCCCTCTTAAATGGAAGAAATTAAGAGCAATTATTCTGCATCTGAAGTCGACCTGTGTCGAGACCCTCGGCTCCTAATTTAGTGGTGTTTTATAAGACCAGACATCAACCAAAACTGCAATTAGAGATTGCGGGTCATAGACGGCACATCATTACACTTTTGGTTTGTTTAAACTTTAAAGTAGTGAGATATATTCAACTGGGTGGGTAGCGTAGCAGTGCGTAATGAGCAGCTTGGGTGTTTCATGTTTTGCCATAGCCAACCTTCAAATCAAAGGGCAATCCACAAAGGTTTTTACTTTTTTTATTCTTTTGGGTTATATTGGGTAAGGGAGAGGATAATCTCCAAATGGTGGACCATGCAGCTAACTTCTACTCTACGTCTCCATATTATTACTCATAATATTTTATAAATAAATAAAAACAAATTTGCTATTAATAAATAATTTAGCACTATCTCTCAGGACAAGAAATAAAAAGATGAGAGCAGGTTGAAATTCAGTCATCATAAGAGAGTTTGAGTGGATTGTTAATGAGCTTGTCTTGGAGTTGGAGGAGACTTGTATGGAAGAAAACAAAACAAAATATCCAACTTTAAGTTGGGTCTTATTATCTTGTCTTGTGAGGACATTATTGGTTTACTTAGACTTAAAGAGACTTCTGATATTATTTGTTTTTCTCATCTTCTTTTGTATATTCCGCTTCCATCATCTTACTTTTTTGGTGGCACAACACAAGTCATCTCACTTTTAGACGCTAGCTAGCTTTTAGTTCAAATGGGTCTTTCTGCTTGGGGTGAGTTGCGGGCGGGGAAGGGGTTGGTCATGTCGGGGGAGAAAAAAACATAGCGAGGATGGGAATAGGCTAGGGGTTTCTTTTTCTTTTTTTTTTAATGATTTAACAGAAAATTAGATTGAGTATTGAGAATTTAGATGGTAGTTGGGAAATTGGCTAAAAAGACAAGTTCATATTCTTAATTTTCTGAAGAAAAATATCATGGGGTAAATTGATAGTTACCTAAAGGTTCAAAGTGCAAATCAAAAGATTACCCAAAATTATTCCATTTAAGAAGGCAAACAAAAAAAAATAAAGAAGAATAAGAAGATCTTTTTCTTTGGTTTTGTGGAGTGAGGGTGATTTGATTATTTTAGTACTCTATTTTGTGACTCCAAATGGTGGATTGGAATGGTAGTGAAGCCCTAAGTTTGTGTTATCAAGTTTTAAATAGCATAAATAAATATGGGAGTTGATTTCCCGCTCTCCTTTTCTTTATTTACACTCCCTTTTGCCTTTTAAAACTTTTATTATTATTTTTTGTTTTTTGTTTTTAAAATTTTCCTATTATACCCTTACTCTACATTATTGTATTTTTACTTCACTTTTATATTATTTCTTTTTTTTATATACATAATTTTCCAACTTGCATTCAATTTTCAATATTTTTTCCTTTAATCGAGTAATAAATAATTAACACTCTATATTTATCTAGGCAAAATTATATGGTTTGCCTACTGCAAAAACGTATGCCCCATGAATAAATCTTGCAACCATAGTTTTTTTTTTTAGGAAATAAATTTTAAGGCAAAAGACAATAAAACACATGGCCACTAATAAACATAAAACAAAGAAAGAGTAACTAGACTGAATACAATCCTCATATACTCAATACCAAAACTCAAATTAAAATCACAACTTCAACATCAGATACAAAAGAGGATTTAATTTAACCAAATTGTATCATTCCACTTAAACCATCACAATATGAGTTGTCAAAGTTGTACGACCTCTAGAGCCATTTCCATGGCTTCCAAGACCCCATGGTGGCTCCATCATTGCCCATTACCCAACACAGAAACTGACCCAAAGACAAAAACCAAAACATGATCATAAACTCTTAGGAAATTTCCCATTCATATATGACAACCGAAAGTTCCATTACTGCCTGGAAAAACGCCTATTAAGCATAATATCTTAGTAAGAAATTAAACGTACCATGCAAAATATATTGAGAATTAAAAGGATTACTCAACTCTGTCATTTCACTCAAATCACTGTTGCCCACCATATCTAAAATCCTATGTTGTTATTTTCTGTTAACTTTTCTTAATTTTATTTATCAAAACTTTAATGTAGGGTAAGGGTAGAATAAGATAGAGAAAGAACATAGAAAAAAATATTTAAAACAAAAAGGAGTGCAAATGAAGAAAAGGAGAGTGGGACAATCAACTCCCATAAATATATATATGATTATGAGTATCATAAAATCATAGGGGCATATACCCCCATAGCATACGTTTATTATCAGATACATGGTTGCATAATTCAAAGTTATGGGCTTATTATCCTTTCATTTATTTCTCTATTGTTCTTTACTAGCTCGTATGTGTTAATATGTTTTTATTTTGTATTTAACTCTTGTTTATATAGAATTATGGATTAAATACATTTTTGGTCATTGGATTTTATACAAAAAATCAATTTGGTTACTGAGAAATTTTTTTAGCCAAATTGGTAGCTGAGAATTTTTTTTTGCCAAATTAGTCACTGGTTTTTTCCAAAGTTTACAATTTATACAAATTTCATTATCTTTCATTAAGTGCAGTTTTTATTTTTAGTTTTTTTAGGAAGCATGTTCAATCTTGTTCCTCTATTATATTTTGGTGCAATCAAATTTCTATATTTTGGTGCTCTATATTGAAGCTTGAATTAATTAAGTGAAAACCGTATTGCGAGTTTAGATGACAAGGAGATTGTAATCAAGGTGATAAAGCACCAAAATATATTGATAAGTTGTTGATTTCATTTAATTTGGTTTAGCCTTTTGATTTTCCTTAGGAAGAAGATTGAAGGTGATTCCTAAAAAAATACAAATAAAAACTGCACTTAATGGAAGATAACAGAATGTCTATAAATTGTAAAATTTATGAAACATAGTGACCAATTTGGCTAAACTTTTTTCTCAATGATCAAATTGACAAAAAAAGTATTTAACCCTAGAACTATTGTTGAATTTGGACTTTTATCTATTATTTTACTTTTTAATTATCTATATTTTAATAAATTATTATTTTATGAATTTATATATATATTTTTATATCAATAATATTTGGGGAAGATTGAATCTAGCACCTCGAGTACAAGGATAATTGTTTTTGACTATGTTGTATTTATTAAGGTACGGGTATGTCGATATGATACGATACAATATGCTGATATAGCAAATCTCCAAAAACTAGAATATGAGTACGACATCGATACAGTGATTAAAATAATATATATATATATATATATATAAATTGTAAATATATAAACATATATTACATATGTAAAATTAGCATTTTGCGTTTTTTTTTTCCTGGGTCCTTGTGCTACGCATCAGACATAAAATGGTATAAAATACTTTTTTTAAACATTGGCCACCTAACATGCAACTAAAACGGTGAGTATTGTAATCAGGTCACCTAACATCATCTTCTTCACTTAGCCGCCTCTTCTTCGCATAGCAATTGCAACTGAAGATTTGCAGTAGCTGCAAGCGTAAGTAGGTTATTTTCTTCTTCATTCTTCCTTCTTCTTCTTTTTTGGTTGCCGTCAAAATCACCTCAAAAATTTCAATATATTTTCACTTTTACCCTATGACGTATACAGTGCGTATAAATGGAGTATCGAAGCCTTTAGATACGTATTGATATTGTATCAATACGGTATCTGATACTCGCATATCCCAAAAAGTACCGTATCGGTGCAACAGAGGCTTTTCACCGCATAAATTACACCCATTTGTCTCTTTAAAATAAAGTATCTGTGCTTTTTACGCTTTTCATTTGTATGATAACTGATGACAAAGGGGGCCACTTCTTCTATTCGATTTCAATTTCTGTTCGTAAATAAAACATACCCCAAATTTACGCATAATTATTTAGATGGTTGCCTTTGGCTCGGTTTTTGAAGTGACTCTCTCAGAAAGAAAGAAAATTCAAAGGGGAGCTTACGCAACCAATATAGACTTTCGCCGAGAATGACTGCCTTCCCAATCACATTTTCACATTAATTCACAAAACCCAAATATTGCTTCCTATTTCTAATCTCCTCTATTGTCTTCTTCTCCAAAGTCCAAAGGCCATAGTTTCTCTTCACAACAAGCCCAGAACCTCCCTTTCTTTCTTTCTCTGAGCACCTGAGGTGATTTTCTCTACTGGGTCTTTTTTAATCTTCTGTCTTTTTATTTTCTGAATGATTTTTTCTGTTACCTTTTGATTTCTTGAAGTTGGGTTTGCCTGAATAAGTCTCTAATTTACATAGATGATGTTTTTTCTTTGTTAAACCTTTCTTAACTCTCCTGTTCACCTGTTTTATTTTGCTTTTGCATTTTGGTTAAAACTTTAATTATGTTAAAGTTGACACCTTTTTAGTAAACTGGTTAGATTTGGGTGTCTGAAATCAATTCCTAGATATTTGGATGGAAATGTAACATAACCCCTAGTGCAAGTGGACGGAGAATTATACAGTGATACTGTACTGCCACTTGGCAGAAACAGCTGGTAGTAGGAAATAATTACAAAACGACACCTGGCGTAGCCAGCTCTTAAGGAGAGAAACTTTTGTTCACTTCACTCCCAACGTTAACTTACCGCCACGTGATCTCCTTGAACTTGTGAACTTTATTTGATTCTCCCAATTTCAATTTTTATTCGCCTTTCTGGTGTCTTTCTGCTTTGGAAGAACGAACGAACCCAACAATAGAGCGAAGCTAGCTTTCTCTCATCTTTTGGAGGATCAAATATTGTTGCCGGAATGTGGTTGGGTGTTTCCGTTTTCCACTAAGCCCTAGACACTACTTGGGTCCTCTGTGAGATCTCATCCTTAGTCTTCTTCAAATTTGAAAATCAAGGCTCCTTTCCATTTCGTAAGCATATCTCTTCAGTTTTCCTAGTGGAAGTCAACCCACAACCCACCTCTTTGTCGCTCCTGTGTGCTCTTCCTTTTTTAAAAATAATTTTTGGCTTCTTTTCTATTTTGCATTTTGGGTTTAATTCTTTCGTGGGTTTTCTTTTTGCAGGTTCCAATTTCTGGGGTATCGGTTTAGCACCTTGCTGCCTTTGTATTACTCTTTCTCTATTATTTATTTCTGGTAATTTTTTGGTTTAAGTTTCTTTAATTTTTAACGAATCTGAATCTTACTGCAATTTTTTGTTTTATCTTTCTGGCATGGATTGCTCCAATTTTGGGGTTTTTGGTTTTGTTTAAATTTTTTTAAAAAAATATGGATGTATGTTTTGAGTTCTGAGATGGAATGGGTTTGATTTAGGTTTGTTTCTTTTAGCATTCCCTGCAGGTTGCAAAATGATCTGGTATTATACTGTTACTATTGGGGTTTTATTTTTCTTGCATTTTCTTCTTGCAATTGATACATGTGGTTTTATTTTTTTCCTTTTCTTATAACTAATTGTTTTGGAAGCTTAGATTGTGGTATTTGCTCTGAACATGTAAGAACTTCTAACCTTGGACAACTGATAGTTTGAAACTTAATTATAATAAAAGGGCAAATCTCTCTTTACATGTATGCTAACTGTCCATATTACTCCTGATTGCTTAAGTGATCATAAGTTTCATTGGTCTTCTTATGTTCAAATATTCAATATTTCAGTATTATAATGATTCATTCGCATGTTCTTCCAATCTTCATGGACAAGTTGGCAAGCATGTGTTCAATGATGGGTTTTATTCAGGTGCTTGTATTGAGTTATTTCAGTTCAATTGGTTAGCAGGTTGTACTGAGGCTTTTTTGCATCTTCTTTGAAACAAAAAACCAAAGCTTGATTTGGAAAAGATGGGGTACATTGGGGCACATGGTGTGGCTGCTTTGCATAAATACAAGTATAGTGGTGTGGATCACTCGTACACTGCGAAATATGTATTGCAACCCTTTTGGAGTCGTTTCGTTAAAATATTTCCCCTTTGGATGCCGTAAGTTTCTTATTCTTTTATCTTTTATTAATTATGAGAGCTAGAGTAACTTTATTATCTTATTACATACTGTTCTCTTTGGGTTTAATTGGTTGGTAAGATCATTGTTTTATTAGTGTACATGTGCATGAGCATGTCTGTTTTTGAATTTTTGTGCTGAAGGTCTGTATGATTAGTTTGTGCTGGGTAAAATCTTGAATTAGGTTATTTGGTAGCCTACATCTGATACATTTATGTTAAGAAAACATCCAAATGGGTGGGATTTGTAGATTGCATGTCTAGTTCTATATAGAACTACTTATTGTAAAGTTACAATGCCAAGACGCCAAGAACTTTTCTGTTTATCGCAAATGCAGCTATTAGCTAAGGAGATTGGTTAAGTATGCGCTTATTTGTTATTTTGAATTTACAAGAATGAAGAGTTTTAGTACTTTTCTTGAGATTTGTTTATATCTCGCTTTTATAACTTGCTTATGATTTAACAGTGCTGGTTTAGGGTTATTTTTCCTGCTGTTTACTAACTTTTTCTTTTTCTTTGGTGTATGTGCACGTTTGGGTTTCTGCGTTCTTTTTCAGGCCCAATATGGTATAATGACATTTACTCCCAACTATGTTTAATCATTTTGATACCGTTGCCTATTAATTGATGGTTTTGCTTTATTTTTGGCCAGATAACACTAACTGGATTCATATTCTTGCTCACATCTGCGCTGCTTGGATATGTGAGTGAATTTTTCTTATCATCTTTTTAGTTTTGTGTTTGTTAGTTTTCCTTTTTTTTATTTTTAAAATGCTAATATTTTACTTTAACTTACACATTTATTTGTAATTTTTTTATGTATGTAAAAATATATCCAGTGGCTGTTTTGTGTATAATGCGTAAAGTAGAAATGTTGTTATTTAGTAAGCTCCCATTGAATTTGCTTTCTGATTTTTCCCCCAGATATATTCACCAAGATTAGATTCAGCTCCTCCTAGATGGGTTAATTTCGCTCATGGATTGCTACTTTTCTTATATCAGGTTGGCTTAAATACTATTTAAGCAGTGTTGCCTTTGATATATTTTTATTTCGTGGTGCCCCTCTTTACCGTTATGCATTCCTATTTTGTTTTCATTGGTATTTCCCATTTTCAATCACTTGCTTTTTTGACCTTTTCACAAATATCTTAGACCTTTGATGCTGTTGATGGGAAGCAAGCAAGACGGACAAATTCCTCAAGTCCACTGGGGGAACTTTTTGACCACGGTAATGCAACGTTATCATGTGTTTTTCTTCTATCCTTTATGTAAAACAAGAGTTTATTATTGATGGATTATATTCTGGGCAATCTCAATGTATTGCAGGTTGTGATGCCCTTGCATGTGCGGTATGTGTCTTCATCTTTTCTGGTGATTTTCTTGGATTTGGGTCGGGTTCTGGTTGACCCGGATTGTGGGAGCTGTAAGAAAGAGTCAAAATTTTCTCCATTTGCAGTATTTGAGCTAACCAGCAGGAAGAGCATGTGAATAAGAACAATTATACATTTTGAAGCAGTTGGGCAAGATCTAATGCTTCTCATTGTGTCAGAACATGACAGACAGATCTGAAGATTTCCATCAACACATTGGAGAATCTTAAGAGCAAGTCCACCCATGAAGGCTAAGGCAAGGCTACTATTCACGTGAATAGTGGCAGCCTTGCCTTAGTTGGTTCCACCCTTGGAAGGCTAGGGCAAGGGCAAGAAAAAGAAAAAGATTATGCAACAAAATATAAACAATTTAGAAAGTGAATAAAATTGTTATGTATTTATAGGGAAAACATCCATAATATTTTGGTTTTTTTTAAAAAAAAAATTTGAATTTTTTTAGATTTTTTAAAGAATTTTTTTGCTCGCTGACGTCAGCGCCTTCGGGCTTGAGCCCAGCCAAGATTTGCCTGTGGGCTTGCGATGTGTGGAAGAACTACCTTCTGGTTTTGGGTGATTTCAGCTGTTCCTTTTTATTGTGCAACATGGGAGCAGTAAGTTGCCCAACCTAGTTTGATTTGTTATTAGTCATTAAGTATGTCTGACCCTTGTAATACCCCCTCCCTCCCTCCTTCCCTCCAAAAGAACAATCCATAATATGTACAAGGCTGTATATTTTGGACTCTGAAGTTGTAATGTTTCTGAAATTTTCCACTTTATAATTGGGGAGTGTTGATTCACAATGCTTGCATAGAGGGTTGTCCACTCTATGACCCTGCATAGAATACTTTATATGAAACTTGAATGTTTTGTTAGCAGCACTGATATATTACTTGATTGATCCAGTTACTTTACCAATACCCTGATCCTTCCTGCCTTTAATGGGCCCACAGAAGGTCTAATGCTGATATATTTCGCCCATTTTTTCACAGCTATTGTTGGTAAGCTCGTAATCTCCTCCTGCTATTCTTTGTATGTAGAGCTTGAAAGTTTATTTTTATACTGATACACTAATTTTTTTTTCTTTTGCTTGGGTTTTACTTTTTCTTTTCTCTAATTACATTTAAATTGATTTGAAATTGCTTAACTTTTTCAGGTTCTGAGTGGTGGGCTCAACCATTTTGAAAGTCTCTGCCTTTTCTTAGTTGGGTCCCATTTATTCATGGTAAGGCTATGCCTATTTTAGTTGAGCCTAAAATATTCTATTTGGCATTGAATCCCTGTACAGAATCTACATTTTGCGAGACTTGATTGCGTGCTTTGATTTAAATACCCTTTTAAGAATACTTGGTAGTTGGCACACCTTCCATTACCTGGCTGATATTTTATATTTTTTTATTTATCCCAATGAGTTACTATCGAGTTGGAAGTGTCGGTCGCTGCTGCTTCTTGTTCGCTTTATATGCAAGCTAATAGAATAAGCCTGCTAGACATTTTGCATATTTATTTCCAATACATCTTTATATATAGCTCAAAAGTCTCTTTAACATTTATGCATTCTTACTTCCTTGTTTTTATCAATTTCGGAACACTACTCTTCCTTCCGCTGCTTCATGAGAAATTCCTACTTCCATTGCAATTGGTCTGAATTTAATTTCTTTCTGTTTTTGACTTCAGAAATTACAACATACAAAGCTGTGTTGTTTCTAATGGTAGCTTTTGCTGTTATCCCAACGCTCACGTTCAAGTATGTAATTCCTTGTTCCCTGAATTTTAAATTTGAGTAATCTCCCTTTATTTTGTGAGTGACTCAACATAGTTGGTCTCCTCCCCAAACAATTCACGTGATTTGGTGGACCTCATGTGTAAATAGTCAGTTGAATGGTAATGCTTTTATCTTTTGGATTTTTGTGTGCAGTGTGTGCAATGTTTATAAGGTTGTTCAGGCAAGGAAAGGAAGCATGCTATTGGCACTGGCAATGGTAATACTATTATCCTTTGGAGTTTTGCATGTTAATTCTTGATACTTAATCGGCCTAATGGGTGTTTCATATTGTTCCATCCCAGCTTTACCCTTTTGCTGTTCTTTTGGGAGGAGTTTTGGCATGGTATGTCTATATTCTTTGTGTCCACACTTACCTTTTTTCTTCTTTATGAAAGTAAAAAATCAAATTATTTATATGCAGGGGTTACTTGTCACCAGCTGACATTATGGGGAACTATCCACATTTAGTTGTAGTGGGAACTGGACTTGCTTTTGGGTACCTTGTGGTAGGATATCCGTGTTTCTTTATAACCAAATCTGTTAAAGTTTCTCAGTCGTCCATCTTGAATGTAATTGCTTGCTATTGGTTCTGTGAGTGTCCTAGATTTTGAACAATGTCATTTTAAGGGTCTGGTAGACAATCAAATTCTTCATTATACCATTGTTGAAGAAAGCTTTGTTTTGGCAGGGAAGAATGATTCTTGCGCACTTATGTGATGAGCCAAAGGGTTTGAAAACTGGAATGTGCATGGTATGTAACAATCCCAAAGCTATTGGAGTTTTACAGTCTGTTGAGGGTCTATTTTTTCGAAACATTTTAGTAGCAGCATGATACTTTTCTCCTGGGAAAGAAGGTTTCATTTACGAATTTTTAATTATGTGGTAGAATTGAATATTAAATTATTATCCAGTTATTATTATCAATAACTTTTGTATGAATTTTTTATTTATTAAAGACCAGATTAGATTACTAATTTCAATATTTATTATTTTGTACAGTCACTGTTGTATCTCCCATTTGCCATTGCAAATGCACTCACGGCTAGATTGAATGATGGGTATGTTATATTTGATATTACTTTTTGAGCTCTGAATATTATTCATCTGTTCTTGATAGTCCTGATGTTTCTCTTCTCTTGAACTTCCTGTGCACCTTTTGTTGCAGAGTTCCATTGGTCGACGAGAGCTTGGTTCTTCTTGGTTACTGTGCATTTACAGGTACTGTAATTTGTTCCTTTGGTGCACGTATTGGAAATACATGGCACAATTACCATTTTATCAAGACAGATTTTTAGTGCCTTTTTTGGCCTCCATCTGCTTCCCGTTTCCAATTTATTCTTCTTTTGTTGAGAAACTTTTTAGTTTTTCGGAAAACAACGTAGGCAGTTGCAAATGCAGTCTTAATAGGGATTGAATATGTACTTAATAATCTCATTTCATGTTATAATGTCTTTTGGCTGATGTTTATCTTTCTCTGAACACAGCGACACTCTATCTTCACTTTGCAACTTCAGTTGTTCATGAAATCACGACAGCCTTGGGAATTTATTGCTTTAGGTGAGCATGTGGTATTACATTCAAAGCATATTAGCCACCAATTTTGCAGAATTTGGCATTTTGTTTGGCCTACTCGGTTCAAATAATTTTTAGACTAACTGTCTGAAATATAAATGAAGGTGGTATTATGTGTTCATTCTTTCACCCAGACGACAGTTTTCTTCCCTTCACGTACTTCTGTTCCATCTCATTGGCGAGTGCCAATTCATACTATGCTTGAGATCCTAACTTTCAGTTTCGTGTTGAATTACAGGATAACTAGGAAGGAAGCTTGAATTTTGCCGGTGTTTACTACTGGGTACCTTCTTTTTTACCCAGTGCATAATGCATCTTTTTGGTACTATAAGTAGAAGTATTCACTTTACATCCAATTTCTGAGTATTCAATTTATTTTTTCAGCCATGCTGGCAAGTTAAGAAAGATCGAGATTTTTCTTCAATATAAATTTTGTATAAGATGAGTTGTGTGAGTGATGAAGATCCAATTTAATTCATTCTCACCGTTGTGTTAGATTTTTTTTTTGTTGTTCCCACTTTGAGACGAGAGTAGAACTAGACCATTTAATGCATCATTTGAATTTTATAAAAATACAAGTGAGTTTGATTGAGCATTGCGTTGCTTGCGTTGTTTAGGGAAAAATCATGCCCTACAGAACCCAGTGATCCCTGCATATATTATACAATGAATTTTTTCCATCATTAAATTTTTAAAACTAGCTGGAGACAAGACAACCACTGCTTCAAACAGATTTAATGAATTCAAGGCACAAGGGAAAAAACACCACGATTGTGCACAGCAAATATTGAAAGACTCCATAAGTTAGGCTGACATGACTTTATAATATGAGATGAGAGATAGATAGGCGACATGTTAAAAAGGCTCCATAAGATACGTTAGCCTGACTTTTGGTTTCCCAGGTATCCCCGCGCGACTGCGGAGACTAAATCCCTCGAGGTACGGTCAAGCGTAAAGCGGGGACCTCTCCCAACAGAGTCTGCTCTATTCACAAGTGTCTGGGATCTGTTATGTTAGCCTGACTTTAAGATAGTAGACAAGAGATAAGCGATAAGAGAGATGCCAACTAGTTAAGGATCGGAATATGAATGGGAGGTATGCTAACACACGGTATCATAGCTACTCATGCTTTATTGGACAACATGCAACATGCTTGTATAATAACGGCTTTGAGTTTTTTCGGACAAAAAAAAAAATTGCGTTTAGATTAAGGGATTCTCGGCTTATGCCAACGAGATCTAGTTTAGTGAAAAATGATAGTAACTTGCAATTGACATATTTCAATATTTTCTCATGTTGAGCTCACAATTATTTTAAAAGTATATTTAAATAATATGTTATTTGATATTTTAAGTACAGTTTAAATTATACAAAATATTAAAATTACCACATAAATCATCAAATCCAAATTTACATTGGGTAGATTTTAGATTTTATATCTCCGTATACTAAAGAAGAATAAAATCATGTAAATCCTTCCGTCAGTAATTTCGAGGATATAATCGCCTGCATCTCCCCCACCGTGGTCGGTGTAGGCCCACACTGAACCAAAAATCTTGGGGTGGTCTGTGTAGGGTTTAATACTGCCTCCATTGCCTCCATGTCTTCTCTCTTTCGCAGAAGCCTCAAAAAGCTATCTGCCTCTCCAAACCCACAAAAAATTGACGGATAAAAACCCTAATTCTTGAAAGAGAGAAACCAAAATACATCGAAGAAAACTCCTAGCTTTCCCCGCAAAATCCCAACTTTTTGGGCTTCCACAATGGCCGACGCTTTGATACAGAAAGCGGAGCTCCAAAGCCCATCGGATGGGTACTCGGATCTAATGCCCGAATCGGAAACTGGCTCATCTGTGCTTCAGAGGCGTATCGAGTTCCACCTAGCGAGGAAGCCCTTCAATGGCCTTAACAATGGCGGCGGCGACTTTCGGCTCGAGACACTGAACCCCGGAACCAGCAGCTCAGATTCCCGTAAACTCGTGACCTCAAATCAGGGTCAGTCGGGTTTGAGCGCGAAGAAAACGGATGGGTCCGAATTTTTGGAAAATGGGTTGGATCCGGAGCTCAGCTTTGGCATCACCTTTCGGAGAATTGTAAGCTAATGTTTTGCCTTTGAACGCTTTCTTCTCTCCCTCCACCCGAAAGTTTTGTATTCTTTATTTTTGGCTGGTCTTGAAGATTTTTTCTTTCTTTGCTTAGTTTAATTCAACGTTTCTCATTTTCAATTTGGCTTGTTCTATGTTTTTCCGAGTTTATCTTCACCGTGTTTCATTTTTTCAATGTGTCCCTTACTTTGTTTATTTTATTTTATTGTGATCATGTTTGGTTTTAGTCTTTTCATGGATTAGTTAGTAGGCGTGTTTAGTTTTCAAATGCATTAACCACTGCTGTGCGCTGCGTGTTTGCCTTTAGCATCATAGTTTTTATTAATTTTAAGTTGCTTGGATTTGATTTTGTTTCAAATGGAGTCATGTGCTTTTGAGTTCAATTGGACACACATACTCTTGTTTTTCTTTTCGATTTTTATCAATCATATTTGTGATTTTATGTGACTTCAGAGTTTTGTTGCTTGGCTTGATGTGTCCAATTAATTTGGCTGAATTGGCTTTTCCTTTAATTTTTCCCTAGTCAATCTTCTGTTATGTAATGCTTTTCTGGTATTTGCTCTCTGATTATTGTTCCCCAGTAGCTTGACAGTGAAAATGGTTTGGACAATTCTCAGGGTGCCGGTTTGATGAATATGGGGAATACTTGTTATCTCAATTCAGTGTTGCAGTGTCTGACATATACCGAGCCTTTAGCAGCATACCTGCAAAGTGGAAAGCATCGAAATTCTTGTGAGGACTCATCCCACAAACCTCCCCTGCCCCTTAGTGTGGATGTGCAGGCAACAAGTTAATATAAACAAAAAATTGGCATATAATATCAAGATCCATTTTTTTCCCCAGATTTTCAGCAGGTGCCCATGATGGTAGTTCCTCTAGCATCGCTAGCTTTTTTCAACATGTTTTGGCAACGCGAGTACGGTCTCCATCTGGGGCTGTTTGACGCAATCAGGGTTGATGAGCAACATTTAGATATTGAAAAACATTAAAGGGGTTTAAGAAATACAATTAGAAGTTCCCACTTTCAAGATTCAACTTATGTGGAAGTTTGTTTGACATACATTGAGGCATAGAAGTACATGGTTTTTTTGTTGTGTTTAGAGAATAATTTATGGATAAAATCACATGTCATTCTAAATGTTGTTTGGGTAATTTTCTGTTTACTAGTCTGCTTGTACCGCTTGGAAAGTGGGGTGAGCGTGTATGCATACATGTGCATGTATGAAGAATTTTGAACTTATGTGCATAGCTAATTTGATTGGTTTATTTTTCAAGGCCATATTGCTGGGTTTTGTGCTTTATGCGCCATCCAGAAGCACGTTAGTCTTGCGCTACAATCAACTGGGAGGAGTTTGGTACCAAAGGATCTTGTCATTAACTTACGGTGTATCCTTGAAATGTTTTATGGTGACATAAATGATTTCTTTATACTGTACAGTCAACTTTGTTCTTTTATAAGCAACAGCAAAACAATCTTATGGACCACCCAAATTATGTGTAGCAGTTCCATTAGTACAGATTCATAACTAGTTGCCTTTGTTATATTCATTTTCTCAATTTCTTTTTCTTGTATTTTTTTTTTGTAGTACTAGTAACCAGTAACAATTCTAATGGAGTTTGAAAAAAAAAAGGTTTTTTAATTTTTGCACGTGGTTCTGATTTGCATTTTGTTAAGTCTAATCAGTGGTCAGTTCTTGAGTGTTGTAGTTGGCTTGTTTTCTTGTGTTTCTATGCTTTGGATGTTGGAATCCCTGACAACATAATAAGGCATCTCTCGAAACTTCACTAAGTCTAGACAGGAGGATGCACATGAATACATGGTAAACTTGCTGGAATCCATGCATAAATGCTGTTTACCTTCTGGAGTGCCAAGCGAATCCTCTAGTGCCTATGAGAAGAGCTTGGTACACAAGATCTTTGGTGGTCGCCTTCGAAGTCAGGTAGATTTTTTGTTTTGTTCTGTTTCCTTTTTATCTTACTAAATTGTAAGTTATAATGGTAAACTTTCTGTGTTTGGAGATGCTTTACCGAATGAGTGTATGAATAGTCTAAATAGGCAAGGATTTGAAATATTTTTCTGATATTTTTTAATCCGGGTGTGTGTTATTTCTTCAGGTCAAATGTTTGCAATGCTCCTGTTGCTCCAACAAATTCGACCCATTCTTAGATTTGAGCCTTGAAATATTCAAGGCAGATTCCTTGCAAAAAGCACTTGGAAACTTTACTGCCGCAGAACAGTTAGATGGAGGGGAAAGGCAATATCAATGCCAACAGTGCAAGCAGAAAGTTCGGGCTCTCAAGCAGATGACTGTTCACAAGCCTCCTTATGTTCTTACCATCCATTTAAAGCGGTTTCGTGCACACGATCCTGGACGAAAAATTGACAGACATGTTAAATTTGGTCCTACCTTGGATTTGAGGCCCTTTGTTAGTGGTTCCTATGTAAGTATTCATTCTTTGTTAGTGGTTCCTATGCAAGCTTTAGTCCTAGATTTCTTCAATTCACAATTGAAGTAATCTAATTGAAATATGACTTGCGGCATTCGATTGTTCAAGTCTCTGATTCTGTTACTTATTATATTTCATATTTCATAATGTTGCCCAATACTGATTTTTAAACGGTATTTTATTTTGCATTTTCCTTGAAATGTAGTTCTGAGTGTAGTGCATGCAAAAAATGTAACAAGGGAATGAGGTTGAATGAGAAACATTGAGGTCGTAAGGCTAAACTGGGAGGCCACACAGCGGGAAAATTATAAGAAAAAAGTACAGTAGAAGCTGGCTTTCCCTTGAAATGTCTCCTAATGTCCTAATTAATTCAGCTTATACAGTACTTTTTTTTAATTTAGGACTCCTCTACGGTCCTTTTTTCACTATCTTTTTTCTGTAAAACAAAGTTTAAAATAGGAATTAAAATCTGGACCATTAGGTTTATGGCTGGCAGAACAAATTAGAGAAACCCACAATTCATTTGTAGCTGAATTGATTAGATTCCATGCTTGTACTTATTTCCACATCATGGTTTTGTATTCTAATCTGAGTCTATGTTCTATTTGGTAGGAGGGAGATTTGAAATATACTCTTTATGGGGTTTTAGTTCATTGCGGGGCTAGCACCTATTCTGGCCACTACTATTGTTATGTTCGCACATCAAGTGGCATGTGGTACTCCCTTGATGACAACCAGGTAAGTTAATAATTTAAGATCCCAGCGGCCTATATATAGTCTTCCTCATATTATCTCCTGATTGAGTATGGATAGCACTTTCAGATTTGGATGGATTGTCTTATCATAACCCGATAGTCGTTGTTGCGTAAGAGAAATTTAAGGATTTTAGACATGCCATGTTATATCAAACTTATTATCATCACTTGCCAATGAAAGTTCCCAAATCTTGTGTTTGGATGAGGTATTTGGAGGTAACAAAGAATTTTGAAATGGTGAGATTTGAAAAGATGAGATTGTGTCCCAAGAAATGTAAATTTACTTGT